GCAACTTGACGAGACCTCATTTCTACAATTAAAAAAAAAAAAAACTAGCCAGGCATGATAGCGCGTGCCTGTAATTCCAGCTACTCTGAAGGCTGAGGCGGAAGGATCGCTGGAGTCCAGCAGGTAGAGGCTACGGTGGCCGGGAGCGGCCACTGCATTCCAGTCTAGGCGACAGTGAGACTCCAATTTAAAAAAAAAAATAAAGCCCAAGCCCAGCCAACTTTTTAATTAAGTTGAGAAAGGACAGTAAATTGCAAAACTACATATGATTGTTTATTTTTGAGTTGGGATCTCACTCTCTTGCTCAGGCTAGAGTGCAGTGGCCCAAACATGGCTCACCATAGCCTTGACCTCAGATGATTCTTCTGCCTCAGACTACAGGTGTGGGCTACTAGCCATGCTCAGCTAATTTTCTTTCTTTTTTTTTTGGTAGAGATATTGTCTCACTATGTTGCCCAGGCTAGTCCTGAACTCTTGGGCTCAAGCAGTCCTCCTGTCTCAGCCTCCCTGAGTGCTAGGATTACAGGCATGTGTCACAGGGCCTGGCTTAAGCCGCTGGACCTGACCCCCTTTGATACCATTTTGAAAAATCATTATAGAATAACACCTCTTTATTGCTTGAAATTGTGATGCACTGGAAAAATAAAAAATAAAAAAATCACTCTAAATTTTTACGTCAGAAAACCAAAATTAATATGTTTGGATCTGTTATTTTAGTCTTACTTAATTCTTTGCAAAATTGTGATTATTCTTTCCACATAGTTTTGTATTTACTTTCCCATGTTATTTAGTGGTTTTTTGTTTTGAGTTGGAATCTCACTCTGTTGCTCAGGCTGAAAGTGCAGTGGCACGCTCATGGCCACAGGCAGCCTCGACCTGCTAGGCTCAGGTGATCCTTCTGCCTCAGCTTTCCAAATAGCTAGAACTATAGGCACGCACCATCATGCCCAGCTAATTTTTTTGATTTATTGTATAGATGAGGTCTTGCCAAGATGCCCAGAGTGATGTCAGGCAATCCTCTCACCTTGGCCTCCCAAAGTGCTGGGATTATAGGCGTAAGCCACCACATCCGGCCTAGTGTTCTTTTTAATAATATTTTTACTAGGTACATTTAAATCTGTCACAAGGTAGCTTGTTTTAACTAGTTCATCATTTTTAATATTTCACTTAGCAATAATTTGGTGTTATAAATGAGACTTAGTAACATCCTTTGGATAATTATATTTATGATTATTTCTTTTGAAAAAGTTCCTAGTATGGAATTTTTCTGGAGCAAATGAAATGAGGTTTTGATATGCATTGTCAAATAAAAGCTGTCTTTGGAGGTAGAATACCATGCTTATATATGTACATATGATTCAAACAAGCATTTTTTTGCTTTTCATCAGTCTTATAAGAGGGTACATGTTTAATTTTTTAAAGATTCCACACAATTATTGGAAAAATACAAGTCTTAAAATTCTGTTTGTTTTTTTGGGAGGTGTGGACGAAGCTATTAAATGATTTTCTTGGTAACAGATGTCAATTCTCATACCACTTATGTTAGGAAATTCAGTAAATAATTTGTTGACCGAATGAATGATCTCTGTTAAATAAATTTCTTAATAACTTCTCTTTGTGGTTCTTTGTGTAATGATCTTTTTTTTAATGGCTGCCAAATCATTGTGGATTTGGAAGACTGAAGATTGTCATGTTTTAAAATTAGCTCTAATACAGGGAACAAGAAAAATAGTTGTAACTATTTATTGAAAGCTTTTTGTGTAAAGCTAAGTGCTCCTCAAATAATTTCTATTCCTTTTCGTAATTTTGATAAATAGGTATACAGCTTCTTATTTTACAATTGAGGAAATAGAATTTGTACGCACAGAGTCACAGAAATATGAAGCTGTTAAGACTGAACATAAGTCTCTATCTTTATAACTTGTTTCTGACCATATTGTGTCTGGAGTTAAAGTAGATCTGAGAACTTGTCTTCTATCATTAACTGGTTCCAACTAGTGTGAATTGAATGATTTCTTTAAATGTATATTCCTTTGTTATAAAAGGACACGACAGTCATTCACTTGTTGGAATTTTCTGTTATCCATAATTACAAACTCTTTAAATGAGCAACCATTGTTTTAGGTCCAGTGTTTGTTTGTTTTGAAGACTTCTGGTTTCAGGTGTTTAAGGAAAATATGATTTTCTTGGTAAACCACCTTGTCATAGTAATTCAAATGAGAGGCCCTTTTTTTGGAGCAGGGGGGTGAGTTGGAGTCTCACTCTATCTCCCAGGCTGCAATGCAGCAGCATGCTCACGGCCACCACAACTTTGACCTGCTAGGCTCAGGCGATCCTTCCATCTCAGCCTTTCAAGTAGCTGGAATTATAGGTGTGCACTACTATGCCTGGCTAACTTTTTGATTTATTGCAGAGATGAGTTCTCACCAAGTTGCCCAGGCTGGTCTTGAACCCCGGACTTGGGTAATACTCTTACCGTAGCCTCCTAAAGTGTTGGGATTACAGGTGTGAGCCACCGCACCCAGCATGAAGCTCTTTTTAAACTTTGGTTTTGACTTTTTTGACCCTTACATTTTATCAGAAAGTATATGTTGTATTCTAGGCAAGTTTACTGTTCTAAATCTAATTGCTGGAGTTTTCAAGGCAGTCAGTGAGATTCCAGTCACTCCATCTTTTCTGATTCCTTTTTCCTTTTTTATTCTTGTTCAAGTTCCTTTGATATGTGATACAAATTTCTTTCTTTCTTTCATATTTCTAAGTGCTTGTAAAATTGTAAAAAAGTCCTGGGTATTTGGTTGAACCTAAGCACAGTGGTAAAACTTGATGAGGATTTGGTGTTGGTTACTGGATTTTAAGTAGGAGGAGTTTAGGATTGCACTAGAACTGTCTAGGTTGAGGTATACTGCAGGGAGCAGGATGGAGAACCAACAAGAAGGAATGATTATTCATTAGAGTATTTCTATCAAGTAACTACTTGTTTGTAACATATTGGTTACTTTTAAATGTTGTGATTGAATCATGCCTTTGAAAAGAAATTTGAGTTTAACAGCTTTTGCATTGTCAAGTTATGTAGTAAATTAACTCCTCGGCTAGTGTTTTACAAGCTCAGTCATTTTTGTAGATTTTTATTAGACTTTAAAATGTTACTTGTGAAATTTTATGTTTGCTTCCATAAAATCCAGACTTGACAGCTATTGATGAAATGAAAACATATGATTTTTTTTTTTTTTTTTTTTGGAGTAGACTGAAACCACAGGCGCATGCCACCATGCCTGGCTAATTTTTAAAAATTTATTGTAGAGATGAAGTCTTGCCAAGTTGTCCAGGCTGGTCTCAAACCCCTGGACTCAGGCAATCCTCTCACCTCCACCTCCCAAAGTGTTGGGATTACAGGTATTAGCCACTGTTCCTGGCAAAAATATATGGATTTTGACAGATGGCTTAAGAGTATATTTAAGGGTACTGTACAGATTGCAAGAGAATAAACACAAAGCTAACATATGTTGTTTTCCTTCCTCCTTACCAGTAGTCTTGACTACTACTTTCTTTAGGCTCCTTGTCTCACTACTCCTGCCCTTTCATATAACACTTACCAAACATAATTCTGTTTCTTTATGCCCTACGAAAACAATGGTTTAATTTTTCTTAATTAGTAATTTAGAACTATTAGTATTTGCCATATCTCTGTATATGCTGTTTACTTATCCTAGAGTGAGTTCTCTCTGGATTATCTTCTCACTTACCTTTGTATTCCCCCATTATCCTTCTATCTACGTAGTTTGAAACCCTTTGTCTCGCGTAGTTGGTTAGATTCTTTAGGTCACAAACAAACAAGTTGCGTAATATGTTGATACTAATAGTTATTAGCTATTGGTTATTAATTATCTACTGGATAGCTGGCATTCTGGCTAGTAGAAGTTATTTCAAATATTTCCAACAAATCTACAAGATCATTTTAAAATTTTCACTTATTACAGATAAGGAAATAAAAGACTGGTAAATTAAGTGTTCACACATCTCTTCTTGTTAGTATGGACAATGTTGATCACTTTATACTCACTTAACGAGTATTTAATTGATTATTAGTGTTGTTTTTCTTTTTACATGTTTTACTATTTGTACCAAGAATAATCTGTACCCAAGTTCCTAACCCCATGTCTAACTTTTGTAATTAGCAGAATGAAATTGAAAGTGGTTTGATAAGAACTTTGCATTTGAAAACATTGCAAAATACATAGTTAGAAACTTTAGTAATTTTAGCCTTGACTTGTCGGTTTTACATTTTTACTTATAGAAGTATGTAAATATGCAAAAAAGTTTCTTTAGATCATTTAGAATAATAATTAGCAGTCTTTCCCCCACCTTTTTTTTTTTTGAAGACAGAGTCCCACTCTTTCACCCAGGCTGAACTCCTAGGCTCAAGTAATCCTCCTACCTCAGCGTCCCTAGTAGCTGGGACTACAGGCACATGTTACCACACCAGGCTAATTTTTCTATTTTTTGTAGAGTTTAAATCTAGCTTTGTTGTCCAGGTTTGTCCTGAACGCTTGGCCTCAAGTGGTCCCTCTGCCTGAGACTCCCAAAGTGCTGGGATTGCAGGCGTGAGCCACTGTGCCTGATATTTACTAATATCTGTATCTGTATCTGTTATTAGTAAAAACTAGGTCCTTTATCACAGTGGCAGAACTAGTATTCTACACTGAACTTGTCTGATACCTCTCTTCAGATGAGTGTGATCATGGAATTTATGATCACGCTCATCTGAAGAGAGGTATCAGACAAGTCACCTGCTAAATCAAATCTGGTGACCTCATTTGGGTCTTGATCGGTAGGAATAGTGTTAAAGAATAGATTAAATAAATATTCTCATATTCCATCATGTGTATGTTTGTAAAACAGGTATTTTAACTTAAATATGTGGATAAAAGCCCTTGTTCATCCTGTCTGTAAACCCCTTACCATTTCCCACCACTCTCTCTCATACTATTATTTTCTTTACTCACTTTTTGTCAGAGAACTGACATTATATGGTTCCAGTTTATTGTCTGTCTTATTAATTGCTCTGTTGCACCTGCCCGTTTGCTACATTGTGACATTATTTGATAACACTACTCCTTACTGTGTACTTAATATATATCAGACATCATGCTTGATCCTTCAGATTCATCTGTTAACTTAATTGTCACAAGAACTTTATGGGGCAGATGGGATAAAATATTTGATTAATGTATAAGTCATCAGCTTTTTATGCTTTTTGCTGCTTATGAAGATAATATGTTTGAACCAAGTATGGTAGAATGAAATTTTATGAAATGTTATTAATTGACTCTCTGTCCTGACAGTTTTGCCATACATATCAAACTACTATAGAGTAAATGTTTTACAAATGCTAATTTTTTTTTTTTTTGAGTTGGAGTCTCACTCCGTCACCCAGACTGGAGTGCAGTGGCCACTCCTGGCCACTGCAGCCTCGACCTGCTGGGCTCTGGCGATCCTTCCGCCTCAGCCTTCCAAGTAGCTTGGAACTATAGGTGTGCGCTACCACACCTGGCTAATTTTTTTGGTTTATTGTAGAGATGAGGTCTTGCCAAGTTGCCCTGGTGGGTCTCGAACCCATGGCTCAGGCAGTCCACTCACCTCAGCCTCCCAAAGCGCGAGATTACAGGCTGAGCCACTGAGCCTGGCTACAAATGCTAATTTTTTAAAGTTGACTCAACTTGAGCACATGGTAGGTCTTAGATACTCCAGTGATAATAACATTGGCTTTCTTCTCACTGGAAGTGTTTAAATAGTTGACTTATTTCCGTCTTCCTTTTGCAGGTTCTCCGTGGAGGAGCCAGCCAGCGTCCTTTGACCCCAAATCAGAACCAGCAGGGACAGCAAACAGATCCACTTGTGGCAGCTGCAGCAGTGAATTCTGCTCTTGCGTTTGGACAAGGTCTGGCTGCAGGCATGCCTGGTGAGGCTGCAGTGTTGTTCCTAATACTTTGGTGGGGAGAGGGGAAGGCATCATGTTTGGGACAATGCAGAGGAGACTGGGTAGTGCTTTCAACTTGTTTAGGCTTTGTTATGATTTAGGGACTGGCAGGGATGATATACACTTGCCCTCACATAGATCATAGTTCATTGATGAGAGCTTTGTTCTGAGCCAGTTGTAAGTCTTATATATCGCAGATAATGTAAATGTCCGTGCAACTTGGAATATGTGCTTTCTATTGATGGTGATCTATTTTCTCCTTCAGTATTAGGAATAAATGGAGTGACCTGACTACTTTAGTGTCACTTCAATGCTTTGTCTTATGTTGGTAATTTTGAACAGCATGATTTGGAAGAAATTTCTGGTATTCCTTGATAGGGTCATCCTTTATATTTATAGAATTTCTCCCAAACCAATAGTAGATGTCTTTTTTAGCTGCCTACCTCTTGGATGTGTGTTTATATAGATATAACTTGATTATATGTTGTTCTTGATTCACTGTCATCTGGTCTTGTGCTTTGCATGGGAGTGGATGTAGTTGGTTTTTCTTCATTTGAAATAGGTACTTGTGAGAGCTCAGCTTAACTTTATGCATCTTGACTGTAAAGCATAGTCAATGTAAATTATCCACTTATGAATTCAGTGAATAATGTCAACATGCTTCATTTGTTTTGTTAGATACTAAGCATTTTTGCCTTATTAGGAAGTCACCTGCAGTTTTTCATATGGCTTTAGTTAGGATTTGGAGATTCTGTCTTAACATAGTATTAAAAGATCCTGCTATTGATGCCTGTCTGGGTTTTTCCTGCTAATTTGCAGGTTATTTATGGTTAGATTATTATGTGTTATGAAAGTACTATGATTTTTGTAATCGTTAGTAGAGTCTCACTTGTTTAGTCAAGAAAGCAAAGTTGTCAGTGTATGGTTACTGGTGACATCCTTGGCTATCGCTTTGAAGAGCACAGGTATTTCCTATCCCACCAAATCACCTTTTTAACACTTAACAGAAGATAAATGATATTACTCCTATGGTTCACTTAGTATGTGCCAGACATCATGCTAGATCCTTCACATTCATCTTGTAACTTAATCTTCACAAGAACTTCATGAGGTGGGTGGTACTGTTATTATCCTTATTTTACAGATGAGTAATGGATTTCCAGAGATTCAGGGTCTTTCACCTGTTTAAGTGGTGAAGCCCGGATATAAATCTAGGTCAGTCAAATCCCAGACTTGAATTTGTAATTATTTGAAATATGCTGGTGCTCAGGAGATGTTGGTTTGCTGAATATCTGTATTTATATATTGGCTTGATATTTCCAGGCTATCCAGTCTTGGCTCCTGCTGCTTACTATGACCAAACTGGTGCCCTTGTGGTGAATGCAGGAGCAAGAAATGGTCTTGGAGCTCCTGTTCGACTTGTAGCTCCTGCCCCAGTCATCATTAGTTCCTCAGCTGCACAAGCAGGTGAGCTTACAATGAGTGGACTCCTGTCAGACATCTAAAAGGTGCGACTGATAATGATATTCTTAAAGTATGTTGAAATACACTTTATTTGGCAATTCTTGATATATCACTTCTACTCTATAATGTTTCAAAGAGAGATCAGAAGCAATAAGTGACCTCAGTGGATTCTGTGTTTTGTTGAGGGGCATATACCAGCTGGTTAGAAGCAAAGGTGCAACTCCACTGAGATCATAGGAAGTTGGATTATTCACACAAAATGGCTTTATTGGCAAAGATCCAAAGCTGATTTCGCAGAAATCCAAGTTATTATTTCAAGATAATTTTGGGAGGGGGAGTTGATTTTTTGGCATGGGACAGGAGTGGAGGAAGTGGGAAAGAATAATGAGAGGTGGCATAGTTATACATTTGTTTGGGAGGAATAATGGTTTTGTTTTTGTTTTTGTTTTACTTTAAGCTTTGTATTTTAAAAAATTTTTTTAAAGATTAGGAATAACAGAGAGAGCATCTAGAAGAGAGTGAAGTCCTAAAATAAGAATTTGAGGGACTTTAGTATATGGATTGTATGTTTCTGGAAAAATTCCTCAATATAGACATTTAGGTAATTTGAGATTTTAGGAAGTAATTGTATTTAATGGCTACCTATGGTATGTGTACCCCTTTAAAACTGCAGACACTTTAAAGCTACCAACTTAGTGACCTTGTTCCCATGGTACTTTGACTTCAAATTGAAAGTAGAAATAGAAACTAGAAACTTCAGATGAATCAAAGACAGATTTGTATAGTTCTTTACAAGCTTTGTGTCCGTTTTGAAAAGATAGGCAGCATTAGAAGATTTTTTCCAAAAAGGTAAAAATGTAGTTTTGGAAATGTGGCCAGTCCCCTCCATAGCCAAACGGTTTGCTTTTTCTTCATAGCTGTTGCAGCAGCCGCAGCTTCAGCAAATGGAGCAGCTGGTGGTCTTGCTGGAACAACAAATGGACCATTTCGCCCTTTAGGAACCCAGCAGCCTCAGCCCCAGCCCCAGCAGCAGCCCAATAACAACCTGGCATCCAGTTCTTTCTACGGCAACAACTCTCTGAACACCAATTCACAGAGCAGCTCCCTCTTCTCCCAGGGCTCTGCCCAGCCTGGCAACACATCCTTGGGATTTGGAAGCAGCAGTTCTCTTGGCGCCACCCTGGGATCTGCCCTCGGCGGGTTTGGAACAGCAGGTAGAAATCAGACTGATGTGCTGTTAAAACTGAATTTTAATTATTATTTTTTTACAATCTTTCTGGAACACTGATAATGCATGGAGCCCTGTGCAGGTATCACAGGCAGGTCTGGACCAAGCCCTGTCCTGTGGGAATCCAGCCATCCCATATAACCTGTGAGATGATGAACTGTTGAAATCAGATTATACAGTTAGGGTCTGCTTCAGGTCCATGCTCATGTTGCTACTTACTTATACTCACATAGTCCATTTGTTTCAGAGATTTGAAAAGCAAGGGAGAGTTTTGCAGACATTGGGAAGTATGTGGAGGAAGCTTTAGAAATAATGATATTAAAGACTGAGAGAGGGGGATTTCCAAAGATCACAGGGTTGAATGCTCCACAATTGAGACTGAGCTGAGTGCTTGGCCTGCAGGCCTTAAAGAGTTAGGAGTTTTCCCCAGTCTTTTGAGCAGAATTAAGGTAGACATTGGAAAATTGGGAGGAAAGACAGTAGACCAAGGTATTTTAAATGTTTTTGATGGGATAGGAAAGCAGGATATAGTCAGGTGAGCAATAGGATAATTGCAGATTATAAAACAGTGTGATCCTTAAACAGAAGAGCATGTATGAAAGAAAATATTTTAATTGAAATTGAGGGTGGTAGTAACTCTCGATTGAACCCACTGAGAAAACAGGCTTTTGTATATAAGTCTTTTGTAAGGGGCAGTTACCCCATTTATAAATCTTTTTTCTGTATTCCATTTTTCTACTAGAACCTTTTTGGTTGTTGAAAGGCATTCTTTCTAGTCCATTTTCTTTCACCTTTTCCATAGCTTATGCGGCCGTCAGAGCTTCTTAACCCTCCCCTATTCCATAATATATGACACCAAAGGAAGGTAAATTTGGCATTCGCGTGATGGTTTGAACCAAAGTTTCATGTTAACCTGAGCCATGTCCTCTTTATTACTTTATCTGCCCCTAGAACTGCTACATTTATAGTTAGGCTGTCTCTGCTGACAAATTTGCTGTGGTAAGGAGTCTGGATCAAGTGTAGGAACAGGTCACTAGGCTTGTTCTTCGAAGAACAGGCCTGTTCTTATCTGCATTGTTTTAATTCCATTTTAGTTGCAAACTCCAACACTGGCAGTGGCTCCCGCCGTGACTCCCTGACTGGCAGCAGTGACCTTTATAAGAGGACATCGAGCAGCTTGACCCCCATTGGACACAGTTTTTATAACGGCCTTAGCTTTTCCTCCTCTCCTGGACCCGTGGGCATGCCTCTCCCTAGTCAGGGACCAGGACATTCACAGACACCACCTCCTTCCCTCTCTTCACATGGATCCTCTTCAAGCTTAAACCTGGGTAAGAAACCATTACTCTAACACCACCTTGAACTCTAGAACTCTCTTGTCACCGATGACATTACAAGTACTTTGCACAAGCAAAGGACGGTCCCTTTATCCTAGCAGTGTCCTGGGTGTTTTTCCGTAAATACCTCATGTTATTCAGGCTGTACCTATAGATAGTATAGCTGTTTTGGATTTATTCGAGTTTGGGTACATCCCCTTTATATTCACTTAGCTTTAGTATGAACATTTTATTCTTTGACTACTTTTGAGAGTCTTTCAGTATAAACAGTATAGGTTCATTTCATTGAAGCTGGAAAACACCAAGATAGAGAAAAATGTAATCACCTAGTATCACCACCTGAGATACATCACAATTAATATTTTGCCATCTTGCTTTTTCACATAAAGCATTTTATTTAAAATTTTTTGCCATATTCTTCAATAAATATTTGTAAATGTAAACTATTAGACTACACAGCATGTTAATGAGTAGATGTTTATTTCCCTGTTATATATTTAGGTTGTTTTATGCATGGGATTTTTAAAAATGTTATCATCTAGATTCTAGAAAATGAGAGAAGAGGATCCCAAGCAGCAGGCTGTAAGAGTAAAATGAAAATTTTGTTATTATTTTTGGTGGCAAATCTCAAAATCTTTCAGAAAATGGGAGGTGTTCTCTTATCTCAGAAGTATGGTGTATACTCCTCTCCTCTAGTTATTTATCAGGTTTGAAGTACTGATTTATTTCCTAGATGGGGAAAATAGAATCTTAGATGTAGTGTGACCATATAATATATCATACAAACCAGGGCACTTTTGTGAGTGCATGGGAGTGCTAATAGTAATTTCTCTGTGATGATAGTGTTAAATCAGGACTGTCTTGGTCAAATCATGTATGGCCACTTTACCTATAAGTCTGCTTTTAAGCAAGATTAAAAGTGGCTTCATGGACTTATAAATGAGTACTGACTAAAAACAAATGGGATGCTTTTATTTGGAAAAGCAAAGATTGGGAAATGGTTTTAAAAAATCAAGAAAAGTCCGAAGTGTAGAGTTATTGTTGAAATAAGAGTGATAGCTCTGAGTTTCAAAGAGGTGAGTTTCAAGTTTAAACTATGCTTATGTACATACATTGGGGTGTGTGTGTCTGTGTATGTGTGTGTATATCCTGAAGTTTAATACAGTAAGAGCTATACAGAGGGAAACTCAAAACAGCTGGAATTTATTTAGTCACTTTCAAAGTACTTTGTTTGATGTAATACATCTATCAAGACACTTTTTCCACTGCTGTACACAGTTTTTTGAACTTGTCAATTTTGATGCCTTTTTAGTGCTTCTGCCATTTTTTGTTTCACCTCTTTTACATTGGCAAAACGTTTCCCTTTGAGGACTTTCTCATGGGGAAACAAAAAAAGTTGCTTGGGGCAAGATTTGGTGAATAAGGAGAATGGGGCATGGGAGTCATGCTGTTTTTGGTAAAAAACTGGTGAAAACTCAGTGCAGTGTGGGTAGGTTGTTCTTGTAACTTACCCATCATGTAATGGGCAAACATGTTGAAAGACTTTCCAAAAAAATGCATTGAAGCTGAACACAGCCTCACACAACACTAGCTGTATATACTGATGTCGATGAGTTCCTAGAACTCTTATCTAGCAGAAGAAGCCTGTACTACAATGGGTCTGCCCTCCAAAAGGTAATTCCAGGTTTTTTGGGACCCCTCCTCATAGTTATAGAACTCACTTTCACAGGTTATACATGGGCATACCTTTAGAAAAGTTACAGGGACTTTCCTGATTGGTAGGTCCATAGTAGATGGATAAGGGGATGTAATATATTACTCTACAGTATTTCTAGTGACAGATTCCCTGGCTTTAAAGACTTGGGGTTAATACAAAATCTGGAGGGGGATTTGAAACCCTCAGTTTGATGTGTGGATAGAAGGAAGGAACTAACATTCATTGACCTGACATTCACCTGCCTAGTGTTACTGGTTTTGGGTCCTGTACATAAAGCTCTAGAAAGTATAGTTATTATTTCCCATGTCTCAGGACTTAAATATCTTGCCTTGGTCATCTCAGATTTGACCAGCTTTAGAATCAATCCTTTTTATTCTAAGTCATGCAGTTTCAGGGTACATGTGCCCAGGATATATTGAGCCAGTGCATTATCAGATCCAGAAATATAGTATCTTTTAATTTCTCGGTTTAAACATGTGAACTATGCCATCTCGTACTGAGCACTAAATAAACTAAACCTGCAACATGTATTTTGTGAAGAGCCAGACAGTAAATGTTTTAGGTTTTTGTAGTCCAGATGGTCTCTGTAGTATGAATGTGCAGCTCTGCTGTGTTGAAATATAAAGGGAACCATAGATAAAACGTAAATGAATGAATGTGTAGCTAAATTCCAATAAAACTTTATTTACAAAAATAGATGGAAGGCCAGATTTATTCTGTGGGTTGTGGTTTGTCAAAACCTGAACTAAATGCTGTGATTCTCGGTGTATGAAAATGAAGCTGGTAATATTACCTGCATGCATTATGCCTTTCCTCTTTCTAGTGTATCAACAATTCAGTGTAATACTACTTAATTCGTGTTTTCCCTTTGAAGTAGAAAATAGCTATTGATGTGAGTTATTCTTGTTTTCATGACTTTTGTTGCCTGTCTAGCTTTATTTTTAAGATATCTTCCCTTTTAAAAAATTCACTGTGTTTAAAGTAATTGATTGGTGTACATTTGTATTGAATTTCTGTTATTGTGGGTAGTGCACATACCATAAATGTCATTTCTGAGGAACTTGATATCTTGATTGGTAGAGCTTTGCCTCAGCTCATCTGTTTCCTTGAGAAAAGAAAGGTTCTTCTGTGCCTTAGTCCTGATCTTAGTCCTGAGAAACCGAGGTGTGCTACTTGGTTTCTCAGTCTCTACAAAGAACCTAAAGACGTTTTGGTGCAAGAAACGTAACACCCAATATTTATATGGCCACACCTAATACAGTGTCTCTTATTAATACCGTTTCACTTCTGCCACCAGCCATCTTCAGTGACAAGTAGCCATACTTGGCATTTTATATTCTCTGTGTTGAATACTCAGAAAAAGTTTACTATGCATGGAAACTTTCAACTCAGCGTGGTTTAATGAATTTAGCTAGTAATGCCACATAGCTAGTAAGTGTTTGAATACACATCCCAGCCTGTATCTGTGTTGTTGCCAGTGTGAATCTTTTCACTATCTTGTCGTTTTCACACTTTGTCCCATATGTTAGGGTGCACACAAAATCAGTGACCTGCATAATAATTTTTCTCATTACTTACTAAAAAATCTTTTATTGAGTGCATATTTAAAAATCTTTGATGGTTTTTCATTACCAGTTGTTTACATCCCAGATCCCCAAAAATACTTGATTGCGTTGTATTTCACATCATAAAATTCACCCATTTTAAGTGTGATCTTGGTGAATTTTAATAACTTTATAAGTTGTGCAGCCATCTCTATAATTTATTTTAGAATAGTTTTCTCTGCTCTGTAAGATCCCTCATGTCCATTTGCAGTAAATCCCCCTTCTTACTCTCAGCCCCAGTTAACCTATTGACCTACTTTCTGTCTATCAGTTTGTACTTTCTGGACATTTCATATAAATGAAATTATGTGGTCTTTTCTCTCTGGCTTTACCTTCTTTACGTGTTTTTGAGATTCATCCACGATGTAGCATCTACTGATAATTTGTTCCCTTTTTTTGTTGAATTACCTTCCATTTTATTGTTATACTACATTTTGTCTTTCCACTCGAAGCCGATGGACGTTTGTTGGTTCCACATTTTGACTTTTAGAAATAATGCTACTGTGAACACTTGTGTGTGTGAAAGTCTTTCTGTGGACATGTTTTCATTTTTCTAGAAGTAGAATTGTTGTTGGGTTATATGTTAGTTTTATGCTAAACTTTTTGAGAAACTGCCAAACTGTTTTGCAAATTGGTGTACCATTCTGCATTCCCACCAGCATTGTATGAGGACTCCAATTTCTCTACTTCCTCTCTAACATTTGTTGCTGTCTGTCTTATTTAATATAACTATCCTAGTGGGCATGAAATGTAAGTAATTGTGGTTTTACTTTCCATTTCCCGATGACTAATAATGTAGAGTATCTTTTCATGGGCTTACTAACCATTTGTTTATCTATGAAATGTCTTCTCATATTTTTTGCCCATTCTAAAATTTGAATTTTTTGTTTTATTATTGAGTTGTAACGTTCTTTTTGTATTCTGGATACAAGTTCTTTATTAGACATTGCATTTCGCTTGTATTTTCTCCTGGTTTTGACTTTTTTTCATTTTTAAAATGGAATCTTTTAAAGTGTGATAGTTATTTATTTTGATGAGGTCAATTTATCATACTTTTGGTATAATAGCTAAGAAATCTTGGCTGAATGCTAAGTCTTGGAAGATTTTCTCCTATTCTTTTCTAAAAGATTTTATTGTTTTAGTTCTTACATTTAAGTCTGTGATGCATTTTGAGTTAATTTTGGGTATTATGTGAGGTAAGGGGTCATCTTTTTTGCATGTGGATGTCTAGTTGTCCCAGCACCATTTTCCTTACCAAAGTTTTGTAGTTTTTGATGTACAGATGTCCTGTACTTTTCATATATTCCCTTTTGTAAGATTTATTTCTAATTATATGTGTATTTTTGAAGCATTGTGAGTGGAGTTGTATTCTAGTTTTATTTTTGGATTGATTGTTTCTTTCTTACAGAAATACGATTGACTTTTATTTATTGATCTTGTATCATGTGACCTTGTTGTAGTTGTGTATTAGCAGTTTCAGTGGTTTGGGATGGATTCCTTAGGATTTTCTATATTCAGAGTCGTATTACTTGAGAATAAACGCAGTTTTTCAATCTGATTGCCTTTTATTTCTTTTTTTGTCTGATTGCACTGGGTACAACCTTCAGTACAAGTTGAGCATCCCAATCTGAAAATACAAAATCTGAAATGCTCCAAAGCCCCCAATTTTTGAG